GGACCTCGAAGACAGTCTTCCAACGTTTTACATGAAGGAACAAGATATTCCTGAATATTTGGAAGGCTGTGGTTTAACCACCTGTACAGCCGGTGACATGCCTGAGGACGTAGACGTCTTACGGGATAATAAAGAGCAGACGAAAGAGAAAAAATTATCGTCCGCGTCTATAGCTGGTCCCGATACCAAGAAAACGGTAACTGTCAAACATCCCGAATCAAATAAGCCGAAACCAACTACGAAAAAAGGTAAACCGATACAAGCCGATTTAGACGTTTCTAAGGAATTCACGAGATGCAGAGAGGAGTGCGTGAAGCGGTTGGATTTAAGCAAGTCCAGTATTACTAATCTGCCCAGCACGGTACGAGATTTGACGCATTTAGTCGAGTTTTATTTGTACGGTAACAAACTCGTAACGTTACCACCCGAAATAGGATGCCTTGCAAATTTGGTAACGTTGGCTTTGAGCGAAAATTCCCTTACCAGTTTACCGAATACCCTAGAAAATTTGAAATCGTTAAGGGTCCTTGATTTGAGGCATAACAAGTTAAGCGAAATACCTGACGTTGTTTACAAATTGACAAGCCTTACAACTTTGTTCTTACGCTTCAATCGAGTCAGATATGTGAGCGACAATATACGAAATTTGACAAATTTAACCATGTTGAGCTTGAGGGAGAACAAGATCAAAGAACTTCCAGCTGGTATCGGCAAGTTGATTAATTTGATAACATTTGATGTGTCTCATAATCATCTAGAACATTTACCCGAAGAGATTGGAAATTGCATTCAGTTGTCCACGCTTGACTTGCAACACAATGAGCTTCTGGATATTCCTGATACAATTGGAAATTTAGTCTCGTTAACGAGATTAGGACTTAGATATAATAGATTAGCCAATATTCCAAAATCATTGGCAAATTGTAAATTAATGGATGAATTCAGCGTCGAAGGAAACCAAGTATCTCAATTACCGGATGGACTGCTTGCAAGTCTCTCTGACTTGACCACAATCACATTGTCTAGGAATGCGTTTACTGCGTATCCATCGGGGGGACCAGCCCAGTTTACGAATGTTCATTCTATAAATCTCGAACATAATAAGATCGATAAAATACCATATGGTATATTCTCTAGAGCAAAAAATCTAAGAAAATTAAATATGAAAGAAAATCAATTGACTGCTTTACCGTTAGATATCGGTACGTGGATCAATATGGTTGAATTAAATTTGGGTACAAATCAACTTACAAAAATTCCAGACGATATTCATTGCCTTCAAAGTTTAGAAATCTTAATACTCTCTAATAATCTGTTAAAACGTATTCCTGCCAGCATAGCAAATTTACGTAAACTCAGAGTCTTAGATCTTGAAGAAAATAAAATTGAGACTCTACCTAATGAAATTGGTTTTCTAAGAGATTTGCAGAAATTAATTTTGCAATCTAATCAGGTAACTTGTTTACCAAGAGCAATCGGTCATTTAACAAATTTGACGTATTTAAGCGTTGGAGAGAATAATCTAAATTATTTACCTGAAGAAATTGGTACATTAGAAAATTTAGATTCGTTATATGTAAATGATAATGCAAATTTACATAATTTACCATTTGAATTAGCTTTGTGCACAAATCTCAGTATTATGTCAATTGAAAATTGTCCACTTTCTCAAATCCCACCAGAAATAGTTGCAGGAGGTCCTTCCTTAGTAATTCAATTTTTAAAAATGCAAGGACCTTATCGATCCATGTAACAAAACTAGAAAGTTATCTCTAATATGACTTGGATGTCGATTCTTAATATGAGTGATACAGAATAAATGATATTTGATACAAATATTTATTAACTTAAATTCTCACCATAATGATCTCACATCGATGAAAATTATATGAATATTATCAATATATATATAGACATGAAAATGTGCATATATTTGTATTCTCATAAAATGAATAACATGTGTCTGCGATACATTTTCAATATAAAAGAAGAAACATATATATAAATATACAGTAAAATTGGTGCTGAATTGGACATATGCACAATGATTAAACTACAAAGGAACAGAATCATAATAAGATATTTTAGATACAGTAATAACATAAATTATACTGACAGTTTATTAATATAAAAAAAATATATATATGGTTTATGAACTTCATCCATTTTTTTCTTTATATTATGTAATAATATAATGAAATTTAATAATAACTAGTATAATATATTTTAATTTGCATGCAATGCGCTTTGTTACTATTTTGTGTTACAGTATACATTATAATTATCTTATAATTTCAGAAATTAATACCCTGGCATTTAAAAATGTCATAATACTATCATTGAGTTTTACACTTTTTTTATTATACACAGATACCTGAGAATACTATCCTTAGATTATTATTTTGAAAACTCTACTAAGTATAAAGGAGTGAGATAATATTATTCAATTAAAGGAAGCATAAAATTAAGAATCGGCATCGATAAATTACATTTCAGTTATTGCTATTCATTGCCATATAAATAAAATATTTTGCTGACAAAATGAAAACTACATATAATAATAAGTTGATACTGTAATATAGTATAAAGTTTATATGTTATTTGTTACTTTCAAACATGTCATATTGTCAGTTATAAAAGAAATTTTGAATTGTAAAACACTTTAAAAAAAAACCTGCTCTTCCAAGGTATGAAAGATATCTACTTATATAATTTAGTAAACTGTAATGAATGACATATTATTTTTTTATTTCTAAGACTAAGCATAAAGAATTTTATATTTAAGCACTATAAAAATGATAAAAAAATGTGTATCACGAGAAAGGCATATACGATAATAGCACTGTTTTAATCATAATTTTTACTTTTGCATCTGTTACATAAGTTGCAATAATCAATGACAATTATAACATACATTTAAATGTATACTTCTACAAAGCAGTGAAAATTAAATGGCACACGTTCTTTTAAATGTTTATTAAATTGTAATCCTAACAATTAGTGCAATTAAAAGTTTTAATTAAATCATTAATATGCTCTCATCAGATGAAAGAGCTGCCAAACAAGAATACAATTATTTAGTATTAGTTTTATATTATTACAAGATTATCTTTTGCTAAGTTCCATAAATGGTAATCTCTGATGTATTTAATGAATATTGTTTTCTTATTAATAAATTTCTGTATTCATTGTGCACAAGTAAATAGTGCCAATATAAATGTTAAATAACTATAATATAGCTTATGAGTGTTTACATGTCAGAAGTTATTTTTAATGGTCAATCATGCATAGCTTCATATATATGTATGCAGATTTTGTATTAGACGCATGATTATAATGATTGATTGAGTTTTATTTATAGCCAAGGACATATTGATTTTCTAAACATATTATACAATCTTACGCACAGACAAGTCAACAAACGACGTTGATATGCAATTTTCTTATTAACAATATAATAACTCAATAATAAATATTTGTTTCATGATTTGTTTATTATGCAATGGTTGTGCAATAAGAATTTTTAAAAATTAGCACTATTTTACTTATACTAATTGTAATACTAAATGATATTATATTACTGTTTTATAAATTTTACAATTTACAAAAATCTTTTATCTTTTAATTAGTGCTGTTTTTGCACTGGACATATTGGATTAACTGTGGACACATTGGATCAGTTAACACAGATCATTAGTATTCAAACATTTAACGTTTGAGAATAAGTTAATTACACTAGTATTTATGAATTCTATTTCAATTCCTTCAAATTATTACACTTCATCGTAAAAAATGTAAAACCATTACTATTGAAAGTACATACATACAAATTTTGAAGCATAAAATGGAACTTAGCAAACTCTTAATTATAATTAAGAGATACTATGTCTATTCTATAATTACTCATTGATATATGTAAATGTATGATTTGTTATGTGCTACTTGCAGTTTTTCTATACTAGTTATGTTTCAACAATCGTAATACCATGTAATGTATTTACATTAAACTTCGTCTTTCACATTTCTACAATTTGTCCGTAAAATAATAAAAATTGATAATAATGTTGCACGAGTAAGATTTCACCTGACTTTGTGTTAAAATCTTTTTCTTAGTTATGTAATAAGTTATAAGTAATAAGTTTCGTGTAAAAAATCAAAATATAAATTTTACGCAATTGTATAAGGTATCCTTCTAAAAACAGAAAACTTTGAAGAAAATAACCGAAAAAGATTTTCGTTTAATTATATTTATCGTGTAAAACCATTCGAAGTTTGTCTAAAATATTTTTTTTTTCGTCAAGACTAAATAATGCAATTCAGTATTTGTTTCTGTTAGAGCACTACATTAACTGAAATCATTTAAACTTACAGCAACCAATGTCAATTTTTAGAATTTATGCAAAAATGTTTTATCTGCGTTTCCTAGTTTTATATTATGTGTATAGTGTGTAATAGTAATTAAATACATATAATTTATAAAGTTGTGTGCAACATTTATCTTCATTACTAAGAACAAGTACAAAATGTTGCAAGTAAGGTATTATTTCAATTCTTTTATCAATAGCATATATGTCTAATATGTTTCAAGATATTACATACATTTCAGAATATATGCAAGAGTTGCCAAAAGGAATGCTACAATACAAATTGTTGTGATAAACTATACAACAGTTTCAAAATACATAAGTGACATATTAAACCATGTTTGGAAGATGATTACATTTATATGAAAATTAAAAAGAAATAGCTATTCTCAAATTATAATCTTGTTGAATAGTCTATTGAATGCGATATTATATATATAATTTCAGAATCATAATATTAATGTAATTCAATGTATATGACTAATTATATAAGATATGCTGTATATTTCTAAATATATAAATATACTATAAACATATTTTGACTTCAAAACTTATTTTTCATTACAATTCAATATCAATCAAAGAAAACTTACATAATATTTTGGCACATAACAATTTATTACATTTTAATTCGTAAAGGAACTAATTACTCTCACAAGTATCTTTTGAGTTTTCTATTTAATTCCTTGAATCTTGTTCAAATTTAAGGGAAATGAGACTTCGTTTTTTCATGACAAATTTTCCAAGCTTTATGTTGTTGTTTGTATTGCAACACTGAAATGCAAAATATACACAATATAATGCTTATTTTCTAAACAAATTCATTACAAGAACAGTACACACTTTTTTAGATACTTTATTTGTGACTTTTCTTTCAATCAACACATCAGAACAAACATTGGTTTTTTTAATCATTTTTCTTGCATTCATAAAACCTTCATTTATACATGGCTGATAACATGTAGGTATATTACAAATATTTTTGGAATTTTTAGGAGTATTTATTAATCTAAAATTTATATACAGCATTACAAATATTTATTTTTATTAAAAACATTATCTGCCTAATAAACAGAAAATGTATGTTTTTGTTTTGATTTAACAATGATACCTTATGAGATCTAATATTTCTTCCGAAAATGATTTTAAATCTTTTAAAACGAGTGCAGCATTTTTTATATCTTGTTCAGAATCTTTCTTACAAATATGTGTTATCTCATTTCTAACAATATTAATTTCATTTTCTAATTCTGCAAGTACTTTATTTTTACTATTATAGGGATGAAGTGTCATTGTAACATTTGGATAATGAATGAAGATATTATTAAAATTGTGTGCCAAAGAAAAATTCCATATTTTACTACAAAATTGATCTTCTATATCCAAAACGCTATAATTTATATCACCCTGTAAACATATTTAGCATATTTTTAATCATAATCATAAAAAAAGGTTTATAAAAGTGTGTTTATTGATAGTTCCCAATTTATTGTGCATTTACCAACTTCTTGTATTCATCTTTTAATACCGTCTTTTTGCGTTGAAGTATATCGTAAGTTGCACTCAAAATACATTTAATTACTTTTAATTCCATATTTTTACTAACATACTCTGTTAAGTGTGAATCACACAATTGATTTTCCTCGCGATCTAAAGATGTCATAACGATTTAATATGCATAGAATATATACATAATAATAAATTGAAATGTTTTTTTTTTTCTTTTTAATTGCAATAATAGTATTTTCTGTTACATATACACGATGTAATTGTTAATTAAAGATACGCATTTTTCTATGGAAGGGTGAATCTCAATAAATACTTATTTCTTTGACTGCATAAGTCAAAGACTTATTTATTTTAATTTGTATTAGAATTGTAGAAAATTATTAATTTGGTTCATTTAAATTTGTGGAAATTTGTATTTTTTCGTTAGGTTTTATAATTGCATATATGACACCTTATTGGTGAACGTACGTAACTGTCCAATCAAATACTTTCAAAAGTAATTGCGTTTGATTGCGTTTATACATGGCATGTCAAAGCTTAGTAGTAGTGAAAAGTAACCTATTTTCGCATGTAAACAAACTTTGTTAACAAGTTTTTTCGAGTTCGGTAATAAGTTGTCGATGAATATATGATATGAACTTCTAAAGTATGATTATAAATAGTGATAAATACAAGATGAGACCAAACGGTTTAAAAGTTTTAAAAAAAACGTTAGTATAAACATTGTATATGTTTTTTGTAATTCATATGTATTTCGAATATATTAATATGTTAATGGTTCACAGTTTGTTCTCAAAGCTTCTTTAAACATTTATAAGTGCACGATGATTAATTAACATTTAAACTATTTTGTGTTATAACCTCTTCAGCAATCCATATCCACAAGGAATGCGATGTCAGAAATGTCTTGAAATGGGACATTGGAGTTATGAGTGTAAAGGAAAAAGAAAATATGTACACAGATATTCGCGTACATCACAACTAAAAAAAGCTTTGAAAAACCAAGAAAATTCTACTGTGTAAGTTTGTAAATGGCTAGCTGCATAAACTTTAGCCATGCATTTATTATAATTTAAATAAATGTACATCTTTACAGGGAAGAACAGAAAAAAGAAGTTAAAAAGAGTCTTCTACAGAAAAAAATGAAGAAAGATTCTAGCAGTTCCAATGATTCTAGCGCTGATAGCAGCACTTCTAGTAGTAGTAACGATAGCAGCAGTAGCAGTTCATCTTCGGACAGTGAATCAGACTCTAGTGATAGTGTTTCTAGTAGTAGTAGTGGAAGTAGTAATAGTAGCAGTAGTAGCAGTTCTAACAGAAAATAATACTTATGGTATGTGCAAACAACACATTCTTCCAATTATGCTATGTATTCTTTTTTTATTCGGTAATCATTTTTACAAATTTTATAAATATTTATGAGATACCAATCCTCCTGTATAATAGCTACATTGTACAAAATTGAGATAGTTAACCCTTTGTAGTCTGAAACCAGAATGTTCCCAGTAAAACAAAGAATATTCTTACTTTGAATCACAAAGGGTCAAGATATTTAAGTGTAAAGTATATTTCAAATAATAATTTGTACAATGCGCCTTTTAGTTGAATTTTATTGCTCATATTGGAATACTAAAACCTTCCAAAGTAATTAAATATATGTATGGGAAAGGAGGAAATTTGTATACTAAAAACTTTATTCATGAAATAAGATTTATTGTAAAATACAAAATAGTATAAATATAAGAATTTGTTTAAGTCAGAATGTATTTGTATCATATTGTTTTTAAGGTCATTCATCAATACTTTCAGGAAGCGTTTGAATTATTACTTTTCTCCTTGAATCATAAACAAAATTGTTTGTTTTAAATATGTCACTTTCATAAAATGGATGAAGATTGTATATGTCGATTTGTTTAGCCTAGAAAAAAGAAATGTTAGAAAATCGTATTTCTGGGCATGTACCAGAAGGTCGAAAGTAAAATGAACTATCCATACCCGATCCAGTAGATCTTTTTCGGAAATTTCGATCGTTGTTATACGATTTCCACGTAAGGCTTTTTGAAATGCTAAAGTATCTAATGTAATTTGTCTAAGTATATAATAAAGAAGTTCACTGTGATCTTTTTTATACGATAGATATTTCTGGAATGTCTGTAAATAATAATACAATATTATTTTATTGTAATTTCAATAAAATTATTGTAGATATATTTACAATCTCAATGAAGATATTTACCTGGCGCATACTTTTCATTACTGAATATTTTTGTGTATCAACAAAACTATCAAGCATCATTCTGATAGCAAGATTAATATCATCTTCTTGAACGTGATCTCGTAGATGAATTTTAGCACTCGCTTCAGCCATACGTATAATACTTTCTATATGTCGTACAGTAATTGGTAAACTTCCAGTAGCCTAAACATTGTTCAAATAAGAAATGTATTACTGTAACAATATCAAAGTCAATAATTTGCATGTTTGTAACTCACCAAACTTTCTTGCCTTAATTGACTGTATAATTTTGCAACTTTATCTTGATCAATATTTGTTAATTTTGGATGAATAGTTTGCTTTGCATAAACTATATATTTTCTTAAAAGATCTTGCGGTATAGATATATCATTAGTATTGTCTTCCGTGGTAACTGTTTTCTCTGCGTTTGATGGATGATGTCGAATATGAGAGTTCACAACAAATTTAGCTAAATGTCGATCTTGCATAGGGTCTATTTCATCTTTTACTACACAAAGAATATCAAAACGAGACAAAATTGGTTCTGATAAATCTACCTAGAAAGACAAATTTGTACATGAATATCGAACAATGATTTACTGCAATTCTTCATTGACTGTTACTATGCATAGTTTCTTACATTTTCTGAAAATGTCATACTGGCATCATATCTTCCACCGATGGGATTAGATGCAGCTATTACTGAACATCTAGCATTGAGTGATGTAACGATTCCTGCTTTTGAAATTGAAATACTTTGTTGTTCCATAGCTTCGTGGATAGACGTTCTATCTTGATCATTCATCTGGAAGCACGGTAATAATTCCACATTCCACAACGAACATTTAATATAAAAAATATATTTACTTTGTCAAACTCATCAATAAGGCAAATTCCATGATCAGCAAGTACTAAGGCACCAGCTTCTAATGTCCATTCTCGAGTTGTTGGCGATCTTCTTACAAAAGCAGTTAAACCAACTGCTGATGCTCCTTGACCTGTAGTAAATACCGTTCTTGGTGCAATTTTTTCAACGTATTTGAGAAATTGAGATTTAGCAGTTCCTGGGTCACCACATAGTAATACATTAATATCTCCTCTTACTTTGTGTTTATTACCTGTATATTCAAGCATAAAATTTGTCATATTGTGTTATTAAGAAGCATCTGTATAAAATAATATTAGAAAATTAAAATACCAGGATTTTTGGATTCACCACCAAATATTGCTAATGCTAATGCTCTTTTTGTATATTCGTGTCCGTAGATCGAAGGTGCGATACTTGCAACAATGCGATCAATAATTCGATGATCTTTACTCAAAGAAATAATACTAGATATATCTTCTTCGGTCAAAGATTCTACTATTTCTTTTGAACCTTTCACTTGCAGATGATTAGCTAGAAGAACCGTTGCAAATACTGGAAAGCCCTAATTTATCAAATAAATAATAAGTCACTTATTTTAAGTAAAGATATTTGTATGCAAACATATTTCTTACATGTTCTGTATTTAAAGAACCATCGTAATTATTCGTGTAGATTGCAGTAACATCCACTTCATCGCCAGGTTTACAGCGATCACAAAGATCTGATAGAAGAATACATTCTTTGCTTCGAGGTATTCTTCCTGCCGGAATTTTTCCTGGTGATTCTTGGATTGTAATTTTTTGATAATTTCTATATATTGTTTGTTCCATATTAATCTGTAATCGGTGTCAATATAATTCTAATGGATATATTGTTGTGGACATATAAAACGGATTTAATAATTGACCTTACCATGAAAGGTCCAATACTTTGACATTCAGGACATGATCCAGGTTTAACTTCTGTAGTTTGATTTTGTACAAAAGGTCCAAGTACGTATCCACATTTTGTGCAATCATATTTTACAACAGAGAGTTGTGGTAATACTCCTGTTGTTGTTGTAACAACTCCCAGAGTACGTACTAGTTGATTTAAATGCAACTTCCTAATATTTATAATTAACTGTATCATTATCTTATTCAATATCAAACATTCCATCTAATATACAGCTATCTTATTACCTAAATGTTCGTATTTCTTCTATTAAAGGAAGTTCCGATATCCTGACATGAATTTCGCTTGTAACTCTTTCATAACTGGGAAAAATAGTTAGCACTAGTTCTTTTGCAACTTCATCAAATATCTCTAACATTTGAAATGGTGCTTCCGGCAGAAAGTAAGCCAGAACATGTTCTTTACTAGCAAGAATAGGAAATTCCACAACAAAGCTAGACTGTTCAAAAATATTGTAAGTATCTTCAAAATCTAAACATTACTGTTGAAAGTCATAAGCAGTAACAAAAGATATATTACTTGATTGCTCTGACACATATGACGAATTCGTTCTTTGTACATATATTGCCCCTTTGAATTAGTATGTGTACGCAAAAAGCTTTTAAAGCGGTTTGAAATTTCTGTACGAGGTCCTAACATAGTTACCCAATCTTTAACTGAGTGACCCTTTGTATCTTCCAAGTTTTCAATAGACTCAACCATCTAAAATGAATTAAGAAATATTATTATCTGATGATTATGAGAAGGCAAAAAAAAAAGAGATTCTCACTTCTGTATCTTCAATTTCACCTGTTGCAGCTTTTTCAGCCATACGTCTCTTACGTGCTTGAGTTTCTTCTTCATCACTTTCATCTTAAATGCATAAGGATACATGTTGTATTATATTTTGAAAACTACATTAATCTTGTTAAAGAAGAAATATACCATAAAGTAAATATCTATCATCTCTGATGATTCCTGCTGCTCTATCTCTTTGTTGCATCGTAGCTTCAGCAGCTGCACGTTCTCCTTGAGACATTTCGGAATATTGCTCATCATCCAATGCATCTGGGTCATACCTATCCAATGCTGGCATAGGACGATAATCACTAAAATATTATAACAATATTAGCACTAAATACATTCAATATCCTTATAATTTAACAGTATGAAAGACTTTACTCTTCCATATTATCTCCAAATAACTCTTCTCCTTCTCCTTCTTCTTCATTTTGTTGATTAATATCATTATCATTGCCAAGTAAATCAGATTCATCTTCAAATGGCTCATCTATATCTGGTGCAGGAGATGTCATTGCCTCTGTTTGTCTATCAGAGCGTACTGGAGAGCTACTAGCATCCTAAAAATAATATTCAAGTATATTGTATATGTTACAAAATGTATTCTTATAATTTCATTTTAGTGTACAATATTTTTATTACGTTTCAACATTATACATAATTTTATATTTTAAATATCTTACCATTGTACTTATCTTAAAAGAAACGAAATGTTTTCGAACAATATATAAATAAAACAAATATAAAACAAATACATAAACAGATCTATAAACACGGGAAAGTATTTCTTTATTTATACTCCGTTGTGCCGAAACGAAAAAAAAAGAATTGGCGGGAACTGCTTCTATACTTCGTTCAACAAGACGAGAAAACAGAACATGTGATTTTGACGAAATATCATTGGTGGAAGGTTAGTAATTTCTCTATGTACAAACTTGAACGTTTATCATAGAAACACCATAAAATTAAAGTTCCTAAATAATTATACATTTGTGTAGAAACTTTATTAAAGAAATTAATTCGATCCGTACATTACAAGAATTAAATTATTATTTATTAAATGAAATTAAAAATGAATTCTGATACACAATTGTATTAAAATGCATATTTTAATCTATATTTTGTAACATTGAATTCATAATCAACAACAAAATGAAAACATTGTTGACTGCATAACTAAAAATAATGTAGTGGAGGGAAATTGAACAAATAAATTCGAACACGCTATAATAATCTTTATTTTTTATTGGTTTCTATCAAACAAGAATCATTCTTCAAAAAGTATAAAGACTTTAATTTGTCTAATACAGAGTTGAGTTCTGCTTGTATGTTTGCTGCTCTTATGACAAGATAAAGGGACTCTTGAAATCGTTTTTGAGCAATTCGTAAACTTTGTGGAACTAGTACACCAAACCATTTTATAGGATCTTGAATCTCTCCTCCATCTTTATCTAACTTTTTTAAGCTTATATCAAAATTTGGTATTATTTTCCCTGTTTCTTCAGTTATCTTTGTTTCTAATTCAAATAGTGTAGCAACTTTTTCATCATCATCAGGAATCTGTAGCACACTTATGCTTTCCTTGCCACGTATATATTTAGCTTTAGCTAATTCAATATGACCATCACGCAATATGTTTTCTAGTTGAACATTGACAATAATTTTCCCTTCCATTAGCTCTAAATTACGCAATAAATTTTCATCAATTGCTTTACATATATCATCTATACTTTCATGCATCTTGTATACCTCCAATATTCCAATCAGAAAGAATTGTTGTAATGTTTTGGAATATTATCTGAAACATACATATATACAAAGTATAGTATACGGTACACATTTTATAGTACACATTTTTATTATTCTATATATTAATTACAATAACAGAAGAGATCTAAATTTTATTTATCAAATAAACATGTTTTCATGTACACACCAAACGTCAAAACAATATCCTGTTTTAATAACTGAGCAGTGTTAAATATTACTAACGTTTCAACTACCTTTTGCAAATTGTCATTTTTATATGTTCTATGCAAAAAAATAATAATAATCACGATTCATCTCGCAGATATCTCCTTAGAGAAGTAGTTACGTGTATACACCTCATCACACGTGATCCAACCTTATCACACTAATGCACACTATCACACCTTATATCGTGAATTGCTGTGAAGATGGTAAATCATAATAAAACAATTGGTAATACTGCGCGTGACTGTATGACAGTGCCGCATTATCACATCTTTGAATTGAACAGTCAATATTTATGACGATTCTTTAACGATTCTCCGAAAGAATGCTAATTTAATAACTTGATTAACTTTATTTTCATAATTTTAACTCTTTCGATATGTTATTAGTAATAAAAATACGAACACCATTCAAAATTGAATATAAAAGTGAACTATATACATGTTTTGGCGGGAATAATCTGACGCTGGGAAAAGGTTAGACGTTGTCAGATTTGTCCATTGTTATCATTGTTATAGTTTTACATTATTTTGTTTATACATCAAAATTATGTGGTGCACGACTCCTGAAATTTCATGGCATAACCGTGACCCTGTTTTAAGTATTGACGTACAAGCTGGAATTTATGAAACATCAAAAGGTGAGGTCTTCTGGCGAGTTGCGACCGGTGGTGCTGATTCACATGTCTTGGTAATATTGTACATATAATTCGTACATTGAGTAATTTTATATAAAATTTATTCAAATACTGTTTTTTTTCTTTTATCAGATATGGCACTTGACAACAAACGAAAACGGTGGAGCTATCGTAAAATGCGTAGCAGATTTAGAACGTCATCAAAAAGCAGTGAACGTAGTACGATTTTCACCTTCAACCGATATTTTGGCATCTGGAGATGATGGTTTGTAATTATTCAGCTGAGTTAGTTAGTTGAAAATTGATTGAAATTTAAATACACTTTTATTACTAGAATCAACCATTATTTTATGGAAACAAAAGGAGGACTGTGAATTTCACATTCTTTCTGATGAATCTGAGAATAAAGAGCAATGGATATCTTGGAAAGTCTTAAGGGGTCACCTTGAAGATGTTTATGATATCAGTTGGTCTCCAGATTCTAATATGTTGGTCTCTGGTTCTGTGGATAACACAGCAATTTTGTGGGACATACATAAAGGACGATCTACAGCTATATTGTCTGATCATAAGGGTTTTGTACAAGGTGTTACATGGGACCCATGCAATCAATATGTATGCACAATAAGTACAGACAGGTATATCTACTAATTTTCTTTGGAAACACATTTGATATATGTTATTTTATATTTAGTTTATGATATATGTTTCAGGATGTGTCGTTTAATTGACATAAATACTAAGAAAACTATACAACGGGTTTATAAAGCTAAGATTCCAACACCAGCAAGCCACCCATTGAAAGATAAAACAGTGCGACTGTTTTATGATGATACATTTAAATCATTTTTTAGGAGACTAACATTTTCTTTGGATGGAATATTAATTATTGTACCATCTGGTATAATTGAACCATTAGAAACTACAGAAAGGATATCTAATGCAACAATTATTTTTTCAAGACACAATTTGAAAGAGTAAGTTTCTTTTACATATATTATTTTATATAATAAATTTTATATATCATGTTATTTTCAGACCTCTTATATTGTTACCTTCTTTGGATGAATGCACTATAGCTGTTCGATGTTGTCCTATTTATTTTGAATTGCGAGAGAATAGTTCAGCACCTATGGTACCATTACCTTATAGAATAGTATTTGCTGTTGCTACACAACATTCTGTATTAATATATGATACTCAGCAAATTTCACCCATTGCTATTATATCAAATATTCATTATACTAGGTTAACAGATATTGCATGGTAAGTAACATTCTTTTTTTAAATTTTATCATTCCATTAATGGGACATATATATTTTTAATATATTATAGGTCAAGCAATGGTCAAATTTTGGTAGCATCTTCAACAGATGGCTACTGTTCAATAATACACTTTGAAAAAGGTGAACTAGGTGAAGAATATAAAAGTGGAAATAAAACGCCAATAAAACTTATCAGCAATAAGAGTTACAAACAATCTCTAGTGGCAAGTGATACTACTAAAAAAGTAACTGAGAGCCTTTTGCCAAGCATTAACATAGATAATGCAATGGATATTGATATGTGTGAGATGGAAGAAGTTTCTAAGAAGAACTCAGAAAATGTAGTAAATGAAAATAATAAATTGTCGAATAACACGTCTATTTGCGGAGAAAAATTAAATAATGAATCAAAAACTGAGGAAACTGAAGATATTAAATTAGTCTATAATGAAGAAAGTACTAGTGAAATTGTAAAAGTGAATGCAAAGGATTCACCTAAAAAATTAGAAGTACCTTTAGTTATTCCTAACAAGACACCGCGAAGGGTACAACTAATTACTCTTTCTAGTCCAAAGGGACTTAAAAAGGAGCAACCATAAAATAGAAAATGTTTCAGAATTATAATTATATTTTGTACAACCATCTTTTATATTTTATATTATTGCAATAAATGTTTTAATTATACATTTAGATTACCATAATAAATATTAGATTAAAGAATGAAGATTAAGAAACAAGTGCTTATCTCAGGGTAAATGGTAACGAGATAAAAATATTATACTATCTGATATACTAATTATAAAAACAAACTATCAAAATTTCAATAACTCATTGAAAAAATGATACTATATTGAATTCAGTTCTAGTTCAGTACATATATATATGTACATTATACATGTAACATTATAATGTTTGTTTTTTAACATGACATAGTTTCTTATATTATTTATCGTGTAATAGTGTTTCATTATAATTAACATACTCGTAGTAAAGTATTAATTTAATATTTTCGTTTAAATAATTTTTGGCATATGCGTATAAACGTTCAGAACTTTCGTTTCAGTAAATTGTTCAACTTGTCGCAAATTAACGAATCACGTTTCTGCTATTATAGAAATATATAGTTGTTCACGCATATCAATTGTCACGAATACTATAGCATAAAGTTTGTCACCTTTGAAGGCTAGAACAGGTATTATATACCTGTGGCGCATCACAGTGATCTGACTGTTCGCTAAGGCAGACAGTAGTTGAATCATAGTACGCCCTGACGCGTTTTTATCCTCACGGGTTCATTCAAACAACGATGGTGAGTCATTTTGTTTGCTGTACATTCCGTTGATATTTTTACACCGACAACAATTTAATTATAAATTATAACCAGTCACAATTAGAGTAAAATATTTTTGTTTAAAAGATAATAAGCTTATCGTGGATTAATTGGAAAATTATGTAATTAGAAAAATTGAAATCAAACGCGTTAAGTATCCATCATAATTGTTATTGGGGAAGTAGGATTTCTGTATTCGATTTATTCTGCTAGATAATAGTTCAGGAAATTATAATTTAAAACCACTTAATGGTGACGGGTATAGATGAAATATTGTATATAACGCGATTAGAATGCACTGCTATATACCTAACATGATCGACCAATTGATGAACTGCCGATAGTAAATTGTGTGTAAAGTACTTGCCAAACTCGCGCCGTTAAAAGTTAAGGGTAAGTGTATAGATGCTCGATAAATATTTTATGAATGAACAAATCGATTCTTAACATTCAACGCAGTACGTTCAATGCGAGTTTTGCAAAAGGTTTAATATTCAATTTAATTTAAATCTGTGCAACCCTATTTTCATTATTCTAGCTCTCTTTATATTTTTGTTTGAAAGATATAGTTAATACATCGAGAATACAGTAAAATTAATTTTTATGGTATAGTGTTTTATAATCGTTATGTCGTGGCTCATAGAATACAATCTAAGAATTTTAAGTTAGCATAAACAAAATTCCACATTACTCGAGGAAATCTCAACATGAAAAAAAGATCAACGCGATTCGAATCACTCGCGTACTTCTTGTTACATACATTTGCTTATGGATTTAAATACATAATATGTATGTATACATGCAATTGAACTGATAGCAGTTTATCCTATTAGGAGATCAGCTCTCCTTCGGTAAATCGCAAAATTGTGCCGCGCGACTACCGATGTTCGATCAAGCTGCTATGGTTACAGTATGTCAACCCATAAAAATCGATTTTTAGCATCACACGTGTAGATGATGTGATATATCGAAAGAGTTTACAGTACAGGACAAAATGATAAAGCGCTTTACACATTTATTAAAATGTTTTCAACCCTTACGTTTTTATGTTTACGTTCTCAACACCAAGTATAAGATGTGTTCCCTTAAGAATATGTCAGGCAAAAACGGAATAAAATTATCATTGTTGATAATATGTAATTGAATAATTATTTCAAGCGTTCTATCATTTTGTTCTGTACTGTATGACTTCTGTGTCTATTCGCGATAGCAGATTTGCCCTGTGGTTGCAACTGCGTATAACGACTAGGCGCTCTTTTTTTAGGCCGCAACTGAATTATTAATCGGAGACATTGGTAGGTCAAGGTAATAAAGCTTTACAACTTGCTGACAGGTATAAGGTCGCTTCCGTCGATGGAATTTCGGCGTGTCAGTTTGTAATCATCCCTTGTTGAGTGACTTTAGCTTGTTTCGTTGAAAGACGTTGCCCGTAAATGTCGTGCTTTTATATTCCTTCTGAACTGTATGTGCATACCAAAGTATATTCTGTGCTCGTTAATAAAAATAACAACTTAAGAAACTGAGTTATATAAAAATGGCAAAAAAGGTATGCTACTACATATAAACAATAAGGTGCCCTCTATTCTTTTAAATACTGTGTCTTCGTGTTTCTCAACTCTTAGGTAGACGCTTAGTTGAAGATTAGATGAGATTATATTTTTTTTTCATGTTTCGCAAATTTATAGTTCCATTCATAGTATCAATACGTTTTATCAGCTAATTTAATTTTGTTAATGAAGAGAACTGAACTGGGACTAAAATGAGTTTTATTCATTTCACACGAACAAGCTATTATTCCAGTTCATTTTCAAATTGTAAATTAATGCCAATTTGAGTAGAGTATTTGTTTTTTAATTTAAATAAGAAGTACCCGATTTATGTTAGACAATAGCACACGATGTACTTCCAATGAGGATCTACTAGATCTCTGTGCGCCCAGTCACGCATCAATTTTGAACGAATGAAACCGCGATCACATTTTCTTGTGGTTGCTATAAATGTATATTCTACAGTGAATCGAAGATGTTGAAACTACCTGACAATGTTGTTCACAAATCATTACAGCGAGAATGCATATCCATTCATATCGGTCAAGCAGGCGTCCAGATGGGCAACGCCTGTTGGGAACTTTATTGTTTAGAACATGGAATCCAACCAGATGGACAGATGCCCAGTGACACTACCGTGGGTTATGGGGATGACTCTTTTAACACCTTCTTTTCCGAGACAGACTCAGGGAAACACGTACCCAGAGCAGTTTACGTTGATCTCGAGCCAACGGTAGTAGGCAAGTCAATTGAACGTTGTTTGATACCTCAATTTCAATTTATTAAAAATTGATCACTTTTAACGGTTGATACAGTATTGTCTCGAAATAAGCAACTCGGTCGGGACCGGCGAGTTACTTATTTCGAGGAAGGTATGCTATTCGGCTTAACTTTGTTCTCCAGCGAGACGAGGGGGAACCCGTAGAAAAAACAGGGGGTTTTATGCATGTAGCGACAAACTACATCCAACTAACAGTATTGTTTCGTAAAATACACACGCTAGAGAAAGAAAAAACATTACAAATATTCTGTGCTCTTTCCACTAACCCCTCAGGGGCTGTAGCGGTGTTTTTTGAAGCTACAGTACGGGCATAGCAACCCCGAGGTACCCGAGCTAGATGGGTTCAGCGGGCCCCTATAGATAAGAAGTAAGAGATACTGCAAACACTATTAGAACAATGCAGGAGTCATGTAAGACGCATGCGCGTGTCGAATGAAGAAATACGCTAATCTAAACAAATAGAGAAAGTGGTAGTGAAATAGCTTTGTCAATTATAAAAAGCTGATCACTTTAATAAACGACTGATCTTTTCACTAATCTGATCGGCTTCTCGCTTTCACGGACGTCTCACTTCTTTTCGGATCTATCACTCGGCGAGCAACTTCAAACGAAAAGATGAGGATAGCGAGTTGCTTATTTCTAGGTCGAAAACAGTTGCTTATTTCGAGACAATATTGTACTGATCAATGCTTTCGGGTGTAAGCCGTATTCTTTAGGAAAAGTGTTCCGGGCAGAGGGCAAGGGACTTCCTGGGTCTGAAAAATGTCAATAAACTCCTAAGTCAGGGGACCACTGAACAAATTACCTACTTTTCAGCGAAAACAATACAAGAGGCTTGACGTTGTAACAAATTACCCTCTTTCCATCGTTATTTCTACTCCTGTAGCTCTTCTGTCTACAATTAATCCAAGTTCCGCATATTACATTCAAAACTTTCAAAGCCTTAAAGCTCATGACCTTTTAGGACATACAGTGAGTGTAGAAAGTATTCGTACATGTACGGTGCAGTGATCAATTTCCAAAATAACTATGTAAAATTGTAGTTTATTAACTTATTTTTGATAAACAATGACATTCTACATATTCTCGGAAATCTCTAGAATAGATAGATTACAAAAAAAAAATAGCTATTTATGTAAGTGGCGAAATTAACAAAAAGAAAAACAGTTAATCGATAGAAATATTGAAACAATAAGTATTAGTATATAGCACAACTATTTAATTTTTAAAACTTCATTAAAAAAAAATAAATTTACATTAATTTATATATATATAATACTTCCTCCGTGGGATTTCCTTTTGATTTTATAATTATTGTAACTTTTCTAACCATTAAATTAACTAAATTATTAGTTATTCGAAGTGGGATCTTTTTCCATTCCTCTATTAGAACCATTTTTAAAAGTACTTTACTGGAAATTTGATGTTTTCTAATTCGTACGGAGCAATAAACTAACGCGTTTACGTTACAAACTCTACTGTGAATGGTTCGTCATAAGAATCGTACAAATGCTCGTTGCTTCTATACTTTTACCCACTTTTCGCATATTTTTGTTAATTTCACAAATTATATTAACTAGTAAATGTTGTTTGGACTATATCTATCTTAGAGACTTCCGAGAATATGTAAAATATCATTGATTATAAAAAAAAAAGTTAAGAAACTACAATTTCACACAAAAGTTTTTGGGGAAATTGATCGGTGTACGAATGCATTCTACACCCACTGTAGTTTCACGAAATGTTACCCATTCCACAACGTTACCCTGCCAATGAATTGGCAATGATTGCAATAACTGACCTTAGCATTGCCATAGAAATCATCTGGGTACTTAAAGTTCTATTCAACTCTAGTCTCTATCATTGTTGTGGACGTTTTCTCTTGTGATTTCCCTGGAGTTTAATACAACAACACCAGGACATCTAATCCGTTCAGTTCATTACCAATGGACCATCAATGTTGATGGCACCTGTTCCTTGAAGAATTTAGCTGCAATGCCTGTGAAACGTCGGAACAATTTTCCTAAAGAACGTGGCTAACATCCCCAAGCCTCAACCACTAATTGTTAAAACCTAGGGCAAGAGAGCCTCAATAATCTATTACATTTAATTGACAAAAGCTCGATGATGTTTCAGACGAAGTTCGTACGGGCACTTACAGGCAGCTGTTCCACCCTGAACAATTAATCACGGGGAAAGAGGATGCTGCGAATAATTACGCGCGAGGCCACTATACGATAGGTACGCTATATCCTGATTAGTATGATGACCACGAGAAAAATTTGATTAGGAATTTTAATCTAGATGAAAAGTTTACTCGTCTCTGGTTCTCGAGTGTCTGAGATGAAATAACAAAAGTAATAACAACGGAAATAGGAAATAATATAAATAAACGAATATTTGGTTGTACCGAAGTTTCGTTTATTTAAATCGACAAGATTTATCTTTCAGGGAAGGAGATCGTCGATATCACTTTGGATCGCATCCGCAAGCTGACCGATCGGTGCAGAGGTTTGCAAGGTTTCTTGATTTTCCATTCGTTTGGTGGTGGGACAGGTTCAGGATTTTCCAGTCTGTTGATGGAAAGGTTATCTGCTGAATATCCAAAGAAAAGTAAATTAACTTTTAGCATCTATCCAGCGCCGCAGGTATATTTCTCGGCAATAGTGTCTGAAACGTTGCAGAAACGTTGCTGTAATTTGCACAAACGGTTTATAGACAATGTACAGCGAATTATTTCACGGGATATAAGGAATCTTATGCAAAAATGTTTCAGCAACGTTTTGCGCTGTATAGGGCTATAATTTGTCATTAATAACAAAAGTATCGAACGTATTAAAACTAGCACGATTTATGCAGGTATCGACCGCCGTTGTAGAGCCATACAACGCGATTCTTTACACACATCCAACCTTAGAGCACTGCGAGGTGGCCTTCATAGTTGATAATCAAGTTCGTACTCGAGTTCGATGTTTGTGATTCCTAAGTTCAATTACAGCTAAAAAGTATAAGTATCTAATTTACTTGTCATATTCAAAACACAGTTGTGGCTAGAGAATTTGAATAAACACAGTTTATTCATTTAATAAACATTTTGACGCTTGGGCCCTCTTTTGTACATGTTACAATCTAAAAATGTAAAAGTAACATAAGCATTTACTAAATAAATAAATTAGATTGTTTAGACTACACATGCTGAAACAAATGCTGTAGTTGAATTTATTGAATTATCGATTTATTAATAATTGGCCATATTTCGCAGGCTATTTATGAATTGTGCAGGAGGAACCTGAACATTGACAGGCCGACATATACGAATCTGAATCGTTTGATCGGACAAATCGTTTCCTCGATCACTGCTAGCTTGCGATTCGATGGAGCCCTCAACGTGGATCTCACCGAATTTCAAACGAACTTAGTGCCTTATCCGCGTATTCATTTTCCTCTTGTAAGTTATCAAGAAACGAGTCGTCGGGATACGTGTAGTTTAACACGTTGACTACCAGACTAATAATCGTGAAAATTTCTACGAGGCTAAATTTTCTTTTCTATACGATTAGAAATATGGTAATCCAATATTTATGGTAGTATTTATTTTTGCGAGCTCTTCAGAATTTACCAATCTTACCCAGATTAATTTTTGTGAACACCTCACCGTCAGAATTAATTTATTTAATTTCACAGTAACAATCCCTGTTATCCATACGTGAGTGACGTGGCAGTCAACGTGTTAATTTCGTCAATCGTCAAATTGTTCACCGCATTTTTCGCAGGCAACTTATGCTCCTGTTATGTCGGGCGAGAAAGCTGGCCACGAAAGAATTACGGTAGCAGACATAACAAGTTCCTGTTTCGAACCGAATCATCAGATGGTGAATTGCGATCCGCGTAGGGGTAAATACATGGCCGTATGCATGCTTTACAGAGGGGACGTCGTTCCCAAAGACGTGAACGCAGCGATCGCCATGATCAAAAGACAGAAACACGTTCAATTCGTTGAATGGTGTCCCACTGGTTTCAAGGTTCATGTTCCATGAGTATTCGTTGCAAATTTAGAATAATTAAATACTTTACCGGCGACACTGGCTATGACTGTTCTGGACCAAATAATTGTCACTCACTCTTGGTTGTGAGCGTCATTACATACTTTTCGCTTTATGACGTTTTCAAGACGATAAAAGACTCCAGAGCAAAAAGTAATGGTATGAATTGGTTTGGTTTAGTTTAGGTTTAAAGGACGGTAATTACAAATTGTAATTACTTGCAATAGTATTATTTTTGTCGTCGTGCTCATTATATTGAACCGCCCCTAGTATTAGGCAATTCAATGCATGCGTGAGTCTCAACCTAACACCTGCGAAAGCCATGAATTCGCACTATAGTATAAATCAGATTTGTGATAATTATAACTTAACAGCTAAAAGTAAGCAACAAATCATTTTAACTACAGAACATTTAGTGACACTTTTCCTACAATATACGCCAAGCTCATTGAAATCGATAATAATATCTGAACCGCCCCTAGTATTAGCCCCTAGTATTAGGCAATTCGATGCACGCGTGAATCTCAACTTAACGCCTGCGAAGGGGCATGAATTCGCACTATAGTATAAATCAGATTTTTGATAATTATAACTTAACAACTAAAAGTGAGCAACAAGTCATTTTAATTACAGAACATTTAGTGTCCTTTTTCGTACAATATACGCCAAGCTCATTGAAATTGGTAATAATATCGTAAAGTAAATAATTATTCAATTAAGTAATAAATAAATTTGATAGTTAAATTTACTGCAGGTAGGGATAAATTATCAACCGCCCACTGTAGTACCAGGTGGTGATCTTGCGAAAGTGGAAAGGGCTGTGTGTTGTCTCTGTAATACCACTGCCATAGTCGATGCTTGGGCGAGAATCGACCATAAATTCGATCTTATGTACGCCAAACGAGCATTTGTTCACTGGTACATTTCGTTATCTTTCATCCAAGCGTCTAATTAAACGTAACATAAGCAAAGAAGGTTTATGGAACTTTAAACGAACGAGATTTTATCGTAGGTTCGTCGGCGAAGGTATGGAGGAAGGTGAATTTGCAGAAGCCAGAGAAGACTTGGCTGCTTTAGAACTAGACTATCGCGAAGTCCAAGAAGACGCTGCAAATACCGAAGAAGAAGAAGAGTATTAACATTATACTACGTAATTTTAATTAAAATACTTAAGTATATTGGAAGTATATTATGTACTTAAACATTCTTCTTACGGTACAATAAACGATATTAATAAAACTTATCTTTTCTTGCTAAAATAAAGAAAATTTATAAGTCGATTAGAATCGAAGAATAACAGCAGTGGGCGCTATATTGTTGATGTTTCTAGAGCCCCTCTATTGTATTTATCAAGAAGAAGTATTACTATATGGTAGACACAAATTCCTCTTTAAACTTTCATGCAGTCAATTATTTATTCATTACATTTGAAGACAAATTTGTATAACTAACACTAATGGTAAAGTTTTCATATACAGGGTGTCCCAAAACTCAGGGAGGAGCCGGAAATGGGGGGTAGCTGAGACGATTCTGAACAACAATTTCCTTTGCAAAAATGTCGGATGGGGCTTCGTTAAGGAGATATTAAGCGAAAACCCCGACCAATCAGAGCGCGCGTAGACCGTTGGAGCGGCCGCGGTAGCGTAGGCTACGCGCGCTCTGATTGGTCGGGGTTTTCGCTTAATATCTCCTTAACGAAGCCCCATCCGACATTTTTGCAAAGGAAATTGTTGTTCAGAATCGTCTCAGTTCCCCCCCATTTCCGGCTCCTCCCCGAGTTTTGGGACACCCTATATATGTGTATACATATGCAAGCCAATCAGTAAGAATATTCTGCCAGTAGCACCAATCTAGGTTGAACAACATACCTAGAATTACTATACCACAGCCGAGAGTCGGCTGTGACTATACCAATAATATAATGAATTCTTTTTTCAAATAACTTTCATATTTAATTGATGTTCTATTTGATTCCATGATCATCACTGTTATTCTTGTTATTATGATTACTAAAAATTAAAACATGTTAAAGTCAGTCAACTAACAGTGCTGTTAGTTATTATATAGGAAAATTAGTTATGAAGTTCCTATGCGCATTTACATACATGCGTTTAAAAACAATTGTGATCTGCGACATCAAAACAATGTAATTCTTCAATGCTTCAAACGTTGTTATTCTACATACGTTGTTCTACGTGAAATCGCTGAAGACGTTAAAGTATTACGATAAAGTTACAATTTGTTACCATAGTTTATAAAATTTTAATTGTATAAAAGATATATCTATTAATATGTTAAACCAACAATATCAAGTTTTACATCCCGACTCGTATATTGAACCACTTTTAGTACGTGTTCAATCAAACAATAGGCTTGGTAAGGCATAACACAATAAATAATTGTATATAAATATAATATTATGTTCTATATTATTTTATGATATATTGTTTCTCGATGTTTTCCAAAGGAGTATGTAATGGAATAATTGGAACAGATTCTATGTCATCTAGCTGTGGCAAAAATAAAGGGGACCGTTTTAAATTGTCTATTCCTTATGCCAGACAAACCCTAATCTGGAATGTATTTTTTGACTCACAGTGCCCTGAAATGGGACCTGATTTCGTATTTAATGATGATACTTTCTTAGCAAATATGGACATAGACATTTTATCTACTAAAATACCTAGTCTTGCTAAATGGAATCCTAACAATAAAGATGCGTTACTAAATGTTCTTATGGAACTTCTAGTATGTTACAAAGATCATCAGGTTTGTTATTTATTATTTATCAGATATTCAATGTTTTTATGGATATATGTTTATATAAAGTATTCTTATTTTTGTATTAGATACAATTGCTTCACAAGCAAGAGGTATTGAAACGTGAATATACTATGTTAATGAAAACAGACATAAGACTGGAAGATGTCGAAACTCTATTATTACCTTTAGGTTCTAAACCAACAGAGGCTAGATTTCTAATAAGTTTATCAGTAGATCTGTCACAGTTACAAAATCGTACTTGCGAATCAGAAAATGCTGTAGCAATACTTCATGTAACATATTCTGGAACAAATTGGGATCGAATTATGACACAACTTTACTTAACAAAACCATTAGAAGATGTTCTTGGCAATACTCAATTACTGTTACCACATTTTCCACGTAATAAATTTTTAATGGATTATATAACAGAAGTAAGAAAATGTATATCAGAGAAAGTATGTAATTTCTTCTTACTATACTTTGAAATAGTTGTTTTGCTGTTATTAAAATCATTTTTTATTCTAGATAAATGTATTAGTCCACAGCTTCGAACAGAGATGTGCCTTCATGTCAGTTATGGCTACTAATCAGTATCTGAATTTATGCGAATATGATGCAGTAAACTTCACTTATATGTGTTATTTATATGGCGAAGATGACTTCTGGTTATATATTCTCATAACACTTACACTGAATTTTCCTAAGGAAAAACCTATAGTTACATTGCAATCAGTATATCATATGAGAGAACAAGGTGTTCCATATACAGAACAGATATATTTTCCATATTCTTGTAATTGGAATCCACTTAAAATGATAAATAGATTAATGAATCATATTCACTGCAAAGCCTTAGAGGAATTTAAGGCCAATTCAATTAAAATATGTTCTTAGCAATTTACTTTAAAATCTGATTCATTAATTAATACATTACAATTTATCATAAATATTTCTAACAAGAATAATAATTTCACTTGAATTTTCCTATTCTTTGCATGTATTACTTACTTACGCAATATTTTATGAATGAACTAATTCTACATCATTTTTTTTTTATTTTCAAATGTATGTACATATACGTATATATGTAACAACTCTAACTATGCAGAATAAGATAGTAACACTTGCTACATGAAATACCTTTTTTTGAAATTGTTTGTAGCCGCATCAATCACTTAGATAAGTTAATTATCAGCAACTCGGTTACTTGAATATTTTGAAAGATTCAAGATTGTATATATATGTAGAGCTCATCAAATACAATATTTTCAATATAAGTTTTTTTTTTAAAAATCGATAAATGACAAGTTATTTCAGATGGCGATTATTATTAATCTGACCACATATATAAAATTATAACTCAGTCGTAACTGTAATTTTTTAAATAAAGGTTTATGTTAAATTAATGAAATATAAAGGGTTCTTTAAAAGAGGCTTTAAGATTTTATTTTTTAATCAAACACAAGTAGTATAGAATATAAACGATTTTTTTATTTATCACGCGATATTGAGAGGCATATTTTGGTATGAAAAAATAAAATCCTAAAGCTCATTTTGAAAATAAATAATAATTTATTAATGTCTTATTATGTAACAATACAATTTATTTATTATATTTTTAAATATTTTATTTATTATATACCAAGTTTTTAGCTAAGAATTTTGTATGATTTATACTATATATATATATATGTATGTGTATATATATATGTGTATATCAACGAAATATCATTTGCAGGTTAAGCATTTTGAACAAAATTGGTTTATAGGTGATCTATTCTAACATATAGACAAACAAGAAATTAACAAAAAGTTACTTAAAAATACAACGACGTAGATGTTTAAAAATATTGCGAAGAATGCGGGATACGAGCAGATACGAGTTTCGTCATTCGACCATTACGTGTCTCAATGTCTTTATGCAAAATATGAATTATGGGAAATTATCCAAGGATATAGCAAAATTAATCAAAACGCGTATATTTTCTGTTGAAAAGATTTAAAGTGATTGTAAAGTGAAGGAGATTTCTATTTTTCTTTAAAGTCAATCTTAGTTCACAATAATTCAGTGAAAAAACAACATATTTAGTGCAAGAGGTTATACTTTCTTATTGTATGGTTCCATCTATTAAAATTAATAAATGGTATCGTGTATAGGAAGTTACACAAAATCTATTTTATCTACCAGTAAATTTATTTCCTTTTTTAAAGGAAGATCATATACAATCATGGTAAAGTACTTGAAGCAACAGGAAAGCATTAACATAGACAAAGATTTGTTTGAAAAATATAAATTCAGCGTCGACCAATTGATGGAACTTGCTGGTCAGAGTTGTGCTTTTGCCATTGCTTGTACTTATACTGCATTCAAAAGTCCTACGCAAAAAATTTTGGTCTGTTGTGGACCAGGGAATAATGGTGGAGATGGACTTGTTTGCGCAAGACATTTAAAACAGTTTGGATATTATCCTGAAATTTATTATCCTAAAAGAACAAGTAACACTTTGTATGAAAATCTGTTACACCAATGCGTTGAAAATGATATTCCCTTGTTGGAAAATGATTTAGAAGACTTCACTTCAAATCGTCTCCATGAGTTTGGTTTAATAGTAGATGCTTTATTTGGATTCAGTTTTAAGCCACCTGTGAGAGGAACATTCATTCCAATTATTCATTTACTAGAAACTACAAATATGCCTATTTGTAGTATAGATATACCATCAGGTTGGGATGTCGAAGATGGTCCACCCAAAAAAGGAGGCATAAAACCAGAAATGCTAGTATCATTGACAGCACCAAAAATGTGTGCTCAGAAATTCAAAGGAAAATATCATTACTTAGGTGGCCGATTTGTACCCAAAAAATTGGAAATTGAATATAATCTGAATCTACCTGAATATTCAGGAACTGATTTAATTGTTAATTTATCCTAAATTTTGATGCAAAATCAATTAAATTATTCCTTGTTATAAAATATTTTTCCAATCTTTATTACATAATATGTGTATTACAATTAATAAATAAAATTTTCACAATTATTTAAGGAAAATCAAAATATAAATTTTGTATATGCATCTAATTTCCTATGGAGAAACATTGTATACATGATTTTTAATAAAGTACATAGTTTATAAGTTTGTCACTTTTTATAGATTTGTGCAACTTTTGTAATCAACTAAATTTATTTGATTGATATTTAGATGGATTTTATTTTATACATCTGAAGTTTTTCATATATTGTACATTATTTTTAATTCATTATTTGTATGTTGTCTTGACGGAAGTTTAGAAAAACAATATGGAAAAATTGGAAATTGGAATGTTTGCGTTTGAATCCAATTTAAATTTACCGCTATGACGTTATCCACGTATCTAGGTGGCGTTTAAAGCTCAAGAAACACGTCTGTTTATTCTACTTTCGATGTTATTTATAAAATATATGAACGATTAGTGTGGACGGTAGGAATTAGGATCCAATCATTCAATGATCCAAGCAGATCCAAGTGACGGTTTATTCTTATCAAATTCTCCATATATAGTATAATTTCGAACTTCTTAATTAATATTGTAATACATTCAACATAAGATTAACATAATATAAAAAATGGTAAATTTGCAACAAATTATACACTTATTTTATAAATCGCTTTGGGTTAACTCAATATTTATTTAAGGCACAAGAAGTAGAAGAAACTATGAAACGTATTCAGTCTCATAAGGGAGTAGTTGGAACAATTGTAGTCAATGCAGAAGGTGTGTTGTATTAATTTATGAATATAATTAATATCAGTATTACATGGAATGTAATAAACTCTAATACTTAGGTATTCCAATCAAGTCTACGCTGGATAACACTACCACAGTTCAGTATGCAGGTTTGATTAGCCAACTGTCAGATAAAGCTCGATCTGTTGTTCGAGATCTAGATCCAACAAATGATCTTACTTTCCTACGCATTCGTAGTAAGAAACATGAGATAATGGTTGCTCCAGATAAGGAATTTATACTTATAGTAATTCAGAACCCAGTTGATTGATATCCAAGAAAAGAGATAACATATATGAAAATATATGCTTTACTTGTTGATGAATTATTTTACATAGCACATTCCATTCTAACTTTAACTATTCATTATTACTCTTACAGAAAAGCAGTGTTTGATTTCTATTTCACAAATAACTTTAGAAATGTGCTTTATAATTGCTTCCAAAGATTGAAAATCACGCATGCTACTTTAAAACAAAAAAATAAAAAAAAAAATGTTAATCATTAATTTAACATTTTGATAGTTACAGTCTTGTTAAATTAAAAGTTTTTATTTATTTATTATAAATTATAAGTAATACATTTGACTGATTTGTGTTACATAATTCAAATTGTTGCTTTTAAATAAATTTTGGTTACAAGGAAATTAAATAGATTTTAATGTTTGTTTGAGTAATTTTTTTAATATTGATCCATCTCTAAAATTAGACTATTACTTTTATTTTACCTAATCCTGATTGTTAGGATATTTTTTCACTGCTTCAAGTAATTTTTAATGTTTTATAGTTCTATATTTGGTAACATATATGTGTGTGTGAATGTTTTATGTATTATTTGTCAATCTAATATCTAATAATTATATATGTATTATATATAATGAGTTATATGATACTGTAACCAAGGGTGTCATTCATTGTGAAATCATACACATAAATCTAATGAAAATAATTTTGTTTATTATAAGAATATATAAAGTATACTGAATCCAAATATGGTAAAGTGTTAAAAATTTATAATTTGTATCTAAGATCATTGTAAATTTTGTTTTCTGAGTTAATTTTTACGTATATAAATTTCTAAGTACATGTATTAAAATACAATTATTTTTTAATATACATACAATTATATAAAGAGCACAGTAAAAGTTGTATAAACTATGTATTATACATACTATTTTCTAGTCAGATTTCTTCAGCCTTATTGAATGTGGCAGTATTGCATCAAATTATACATACAATATATGCCGGAACTCGTTTTTTCTAAACTATAAACATTTATACTGTTTGTATAAATATGCATAACACGTATACTATGTGTATAAATATTTATAGATTAACAATTTAAATATCAAAAAAAAATAAATGTTTAATCAAATATCATGAAAAGATAAAATTTGATTCTTTAAAAGTTAAATGTGTAATTTAACAAAAAGTCATGGTTACTGACAAGATTTCTTAAAACTTGTATCAGATACAAGATATAAAAATAAAAATATATTGTTATAAATATAATAAAATAATTATTGAAAATAAATATACACTAATTGTACATGTGCAAATGCTATCTCAGATCAAATATTTGTACAATTTATAAACAATAAATAAGTCAGCTAAATTTTGTTTAAATATTTCTGAATAAGAGTTCTAAATATCCTATTAGATGAATTTTATAAAAATTATGTATGTGCAGTATTTTGATGTTTTAAGGATGGATGGAAAACACTATAATAAACAATCATAGCTGTTATACCCAACAAAAAAGGTATAATACAAAGAATAAGGAGTACATTAAAGTACCAAGCATTTTTAACTTCATCCGATGAACTATATATCCAAAATATAGTTGCTGTTATATTTTCAAGAAAACAGATTATGTAAAAGTACACATGTTTAAGAAATGTGCTACCATCTACTGCATTTAAATATATAAATACATGAACTATGCCAATTACCATAGAAAATAACATAGAATAAATGCGTTCTTTAACTTTCGGAGGAAAATGCGGCGCATGACTGTAATTCCTACAAAATTCTAACATACCATGAGAATCAATAATAACCCAAGTAGTCATGCCGATCCAATGACAAATGCAACCAATACCTGTATATAATGGCCATACGCTTGCAATAACACTCAAAGACAATATTCTTGAAACTGCAAAATATATACATAAATGTCGACTTTTAGTTCTCTTATGAATCTTATGCAATAATAATTGACTTACCCGTAGTACAGAAATGCCACAAAAATTGAAGAACTGTTCCTGTAAGTCCAATGTTTAGTTTATCTTGTTGAGCTAATCTAATACTACGATGGTAACTAGCCATAACCCATCCCATACTTCCAAGTGAGCTAAGGATGCTAGCTACTTGATGAATAACTGTAATAAATACAAGTATTATTTTTACTTGTCAAGTTCTATATTATAACATAACAGTTAACCTTTTGTGAACATTGTATAGATATACCAGACAACATATTTTTACGATTTTATACATACATTGAAAAATTCTCTGTAAATATATGACCACAAATCAACAGAAGTTGATTAAATATAATTTCTTAATAAGTATGTAACAAATCAGTAAGTTAAAATAAAATTAATTTATTGCATAAAGTAATTTTTAGATATACATTACTTTTCTGCATTGTTTACAAAAAGTTAGTAAATATATAAAAATATATGTACATTCAAAATTAATATTGCTGTGATAGTTCTTCAACAATATAGTTAATTGTAAAATTTGTTGAGGAGCTGCTTCGAGGAAGCATTCAAATACTCTTAATAAAGCAACATCTTGATCTTCTTTGAGCATTTTGAGATAATATCGTCTTTGAGCATTATGGTCATTCAGTTTTTTAAACTTATAAGCCTTTAAAGCATATTTCAATGTTTGATAATAACGGAGTACTGGTGCTAATTGAAATGCAACAATTACAATAAAGAATACATTCCTTGTTAACATTGCATGTATCCATTTATATTCTGAATGATTTGATGTTGTGCTTATCTGTAAAGAAAAAAATAACAGTCTTAATAACTGTCAGAAAAACATTTACAAAAGAACATTGAGACTTATGCTACACCAGAATTATATTAAATTTTGCGTATGAGGATATATTTAGATGGAGTCATCGATTCCAGCAATATTATTTCTTAGCGTTCCATGTAAGAATAAGTCTTGATGTTACTTTGATAATAAATTTTATATTTAATTATATTAATTCTTTATATCCAATGCAACATTTTACCTTATCATCTTGGTATATCATTTTTCTACTAATTATAACATTAATCAATGAAGGTAGAAAAATAAAAGTAGCTGTCCATGTAAAATATGTTGTTTTGCCAGCCAATAAATATCTTATGGCGAGGTTCATATCAATAGCCATATCTACAACGTGCATAATGATCGAGGATCCGAGAAAGAAAATATCCAAGTATGATATACTTGGATTTTTTAAAGGAACATCTACATCGTCGTTATCAAATTCCAATACAGGAAAAATACCAATTATTTGTCGTGTATGATGTTTATTATTTCGAATCTCCATTTTTATCTGTTGTCAAAAAATCTTAAGCATCATAATTTAAATTTGAGTATGCTACGACTTGTCAGTTCTGTAGTTTACAATCATCGTATGTTTATTTTATTTGTACACATAACCTTAACGTGAGTATTAAACTTCACTTCATTACTTGGCTTAAAAATTTCATTATATTAAATATTATTTTTACATTTTAGTATATCCTTACGATTTAAAAAATATACTAATATTTCAAATTTCTATATAATTACAGTTTAATGTATTTTAAAAATTAAATCGTGTAAATAACTTGTCATCTATTGATTCACACACGCCACAAATTCAAATGTAGTTAATTTGTATCTGTCTTCAATGTATTACAAAATTATAAAAAAAGTTAGTGACGTCTGATCGTGATAATCTGGTTTGGTACATGAAGCAATTTTACGTTGTCATAGCAATCTTTAGATAGTGGTTCAGATAGAAATTATCTCTAGCTCTTTGCTGTTCTGGATGCAGTATAAATATTACATCCTCATGTACTGTATAAATTTGTCATAACGAGTAATTTTATTTATTTAATGAGTTTAAATAATAATTTTGTTTACACAAACATTGTAGATCAATACAATACAGAGTATAGTCTGTTATCTACATCATCGTGTAATAGTGTTGGTTTTTTTTTGTCAAATCCATCGAGTTCGGAATCTGAACATTTTTCGATGCTGTATCGATACATGATTCCCTTATTGATACCATACTCGGTAACAAACTTTTCAACAGGCACATCTTTCTCTAACCCCTGGAGAATATCCAGACGTTTTGCGAGAGTGATTCGCCCTTTTCATGCATAAACAGATGTCATATGAATTGTAACTTTTAAAAGCTTTGTAAGCAAACTATTGTAATATTGTCTGATATTGTCCTTCCAACTATCAGCCTGACCTGCAAATTGTCGCATAGATATTTCAACCAATTCTTGCAGTGCATTTAGATAACTGTTGCCTCTGCTGAATGCACTCAATATGTCCTTTACATTCAATTTCGTCCTTGATGTACACTCGCCTTAACAGTTGTTTATTCTACACATGTGTGCGAAGGTTTGACACATATACACACTATAAGCACTCATCTATATATTTATACATGTTTTTAACAAATGACTTTTATTTCTACATGAGGCGATCGGATCATCTGAAAAGGCGATAGGTGTGTTGGGATTTTTGTTAGTATAATACTCATGATTATATTACTCTACCAATCACAACTTAGAACCCTTTTAAAGCTTAATTCAATGTGAATTTTGAGTGTATCTTTAGGAATGAATAACATTTGGTTTATTCAAAAATAAACAATTCACGTTATGGTTTTATTCATACATTAATAGGAAAGAATTGTATGCATTATAATAAAGTGGGACAAGTGTTATGTACTTCAATGATCACGTATTCATTCTTAAATTTATTTCATATAAATTAATGTACAATTGTAATAATTGGGAATTTGTTATTTGTTATTTTATTTTATTTACACTTACCTATAAATCCTTTCTGGTAGTTTGTACAACTAGTAATTTTCAGTACTTTAACAAGGAAATAAAGAAAAAAATAAATATATGTCAGTGTAAAAGATTTTTGAACTTATGATGAAACTTTCATAATTGTACTTATGGCCTTACTACAAGGGTTTTATTCGTACATTATTTACTTGATCTATTTAATTTTTTTATCACTTAAATGTTCATTGGTACATTGTTGTATCAAATAATAGGCTGTCTGACAATAAATAAATGAACATATAATAATAAACTTGTAGAGACTCATAATCTGAATAATGTTAGTATTAAAATTGATCACAAACACATTTGTTAGAAATAGGTAATGTGATACTCATTGTTCAACAGATTCTACATGTCTTATATTATTTGTTAATATATCGCTTTTCTTGCAATAATAGAATGTACTACCATTTTTCCAATATATATATTCTTTACGATTAATAAAATCAACATAATTAGATTCATTACTGGTCTTAGAGTCTTGTTCTCTAGGATTCTCAGTTAATGGTATTCGGCCCAAAAGATTCTTCCATGAACTTCTGATGCTTGGAGCTGTTATTTCATTCCATATATTACTGA